AAGGTGCCCTGCACCTTTACAGTCTCTGGCACACCTTGATCCTAGCTCCATAGAGGAAAAAACCCTTTTCCTCTCATCTTGGCACAGTGCCTTTCATCCTCAGGCTGATTTAGCTGGGCTGGTCACCAGCAGCTATGCAGTGGAGTGACAGCACAGCAATACCAATTACAAAGAGGGCCGGGCAGCTTGGGACCTGCAGGGTGGCTGCAGGTGAGCAGCCAGAGAGGGAAATGAGGGGCTGTAGCAGCCTTGGACCCTCTGTCCCTCCTGCTCTCTGCAAATGTGAGCAATTGTGGGCAGCTGTGAAACCTGAATACCCTGATACCATGTTTTTCTAAGACAGTCTTAGATTTTCTACACTCATACTGACCTCAGCTGAAGATAACAAGCCTTGTCCTGGGGGAAAAGGGACAGCTTATCCTGGCACTTTGCTCTGCAAGGTTTTATTTTACTTTCCTTTGATGCATCAGTGTGGTTAGGGAAAGATCCAGTTCTAGATGTACCAAAGGCTGCTCCTGAGTTTCTTCCTAAGGATTACACCATGCCCTTAGATTGTATCTCATCAATGCTGTTCTTCACACTGACCTGTTACAGCAGACAAGGGAGAGAATATCATCTCTGCAGCACTCATGCATGAGCAAATAGCCATGAGCTATCAGACACCACCCCGAGTGCAGCCTGCCTGACCCACCCCGGACCAGGGATCAAACAACAGAGATGTTTTCTTTCTTGGACTGATGCAGTATTGTAACAGCAAACTGCTCACAGTGAAAGTGTTTGGTCATTAGGCCTCCAGGCAGAGATTGCCAAAAGCAGAACCTACATAGCTCTACTTTCAGAGCCACTTTTGTCAGAAGATTTAAATAAATCTTTGCAGAGTCTTCCCATACTGCTTGGGAGCAGGGAGAAATTAGTTCTGCTTCTGTGTTTGCAAAGAAAAGATTTGCTGCCAGGAAATTTTGCTATAATATTTAAGTATTTTCCACAAACACATTTGGATTTTTCTTTTACCTAAAACTGCACATCTTTTTCCTTACCAGTCTTGCATTAATGATCCAACACCCATTCTCCTGCCTGCTGCTAATACTTCCTTGGCTCACAATTCATAGGAGTACTGTGGTGATTGATAAATGTCTTTGAATTTGAAAGTGCTGAGTGCTAATTACTGTCTGTGCACATTCATACTTGTGCTGCTTTCAAGTGCAGGGCAGTCACATACCATGGTAATAGGAAAGCTTAGGAAAACAGATATTGGTACCTGATATTGGTATAGGAGTTTTATCCATCATAGGAATGTAATAAGGAAGAATAAATTAGAAGTTAGATGTTTCAATTCATTATTGCACGTTCTAATGAATAATTTTCCATCTGTTTAATAGGTTCAGGGCAGCTCAAAATGGAGTTCAGATTGGAAGCTGCTTGCAGCCCTATCTGCTTGCACCCTGGGTAATGCTAAGAATTATAAAAATACGTTTTTGTCCATTGTGAGGAGCACAGTTAAAAATGTGACAGCAAAGTGCAAGTTGAAGGGTATGGATTCATCCAAATTCTGCCCTACGGATGCTGGGACACTGGGTGGGTCAATCCAGAGCCCCCCCATAAAGCATCCATCACATGCCTGAGGACGTACTGCCTGAAGAAACTGTTAGGTCAAGCTGCACTTGGGTTTTTTGTAGGCTTTTTCCCTCATCCATCTTTAAAATGATGTGATTGGAGTGTAAAGGGTATTTTCAAATGTTTCCTTAATGAGGATACTTTGTTCACATTTATCAGTCAGTGCTAACTGCTTTCAGAGTTCCTCTGCTCCTGTAACTCAAGGACCAGCCTGGGAGGGCTTGGGAAGCACATGCTCAGCATCCATAAACCAGCCACTGCCATTCACCAGCTTTGCTCACAGAGGACATGTTAATTAAAGTCAACTGATTGGAAAAATAATTACAGGAGAATCAGGAGGGGGAAAGCTTAGACCCATAATTTAAAGATGTCTGATGTTTGTGTGTTGTTGAGAGGTAGTCATTTTGTTGAGAGGAAAGAGGATCTCTCTTTTTCTTTCTTGGACTCCTGTGCTCTCCTTGCTTTCTGCTGCTTGCAGAAACATGCAATGGCTACAGGCAACATGCAGCAGTTTTTCTTTAGTTATGCAAGTACTTGTGGCTTTTATTCTTTCAAATATATGCTTTCACCTAGCTTTGTTGCTGTTGTATCTTGAGGTGTCCTGAAGAGGCTGTAATGTCTAACCTAAAAGGTTTTGTATTCCTGGACACAGTTATTCTATAGGATGTGGAATAATGTAAACACTCTAACTGCTAAAAACTGCTGTTTTAGCATTTCTTGCACTAATTAAAACCTGGCTAGGCATCTCCTTTCTTGATGTTGCCTCTACTTCAAAGAAAAACATTTCAACAAATCAAATCAAGGGAAAATGGTTTCACATTTTAAGCTAATAATAATAATAGTCTTAGAAACCCATACTTGCTCAAGGGTATAATTAATTATAAAAAGACCTTAGAATTCAACAGTAAGCAAATATAAACCCCTTGTTATTTGGGGGTGGATGTTTTTCAGACACTCCCTCTCAGGTGATGATTCTGCATTCTCACCAGCTCTGTGTCCCTCCAGTGGGGGCATTCCCACAGGGAGGGGCAGCACCCAGGGCTGCCAGACTGGGAGCCCCTCCAGCTCTCTGCAGCATTGTGGTCTCCTGAAAAACCTCGGGCAAGGCACCTGCCTTGTGCCTGTTGGAGCTTCCCCCTCCCCATGGACGTGCAGAGAGCATAAACAGGTGACAAAAAGGAAATCCTCTATGTCAGGAAACCAAATGCAATTCTTAGAAGGCTCTGACTGGACAGATTTACCAAGTGATGGTGTGAGTTTGGTGTTGTTCTGGCCTTGCCACCACTGGATTTGGTTGGAAGTGCCCATTCATCCAAACCCCTGCCTATGCAGCCAAACAAACACTGTAGAGAACCAGAGAGAGGGTGGGTTGTGTTCCCTGTGTGCTCATAACAGCAGTGGTTGGAACTGGAACACAGTTACTTTGAAGGCTAACCTGACTCCCCTGGTGCTTTAGAGCATTTGGCATTTAAAGGTAAATATATGTAGTAAATGCAAATGTCCATCCATACTAGATTCACAAAAGGCACAGATGGACCTGCACAAGGACTTGTAACAGCCTGGCTTTGCTAGTGCTAAAAAAATAACCAATGTTTTATTTTAGTTTTACTTTTAAAGGTGTGAGAAAAGTTTAAGGTGAAAAAAAAAGAATACACAATTACTGTCTGCCATAATTTGAACACAGAATAAAGCTGAATTTGCTTATGCAGAGAGAGAATGTATTGCTCTGTATTCATTTAAGATACAAGCATTCCCCAGTATTCCTGGCCTGGAGCTCTGGCTGCTTTACACACTGAATAAATATAGTTGCCACTAAATAATGTTAATAACCTTATCAGTCAGAGTTACAGAATGACTTCATCTTTCACACTTCATGTTCTTCATTGATGCATTTTAGAAATTGAGAACACCAGTACACTACGAAAAATTCAAAACTTCCTAAGGAAACCATGAAAAGCATACAAGTTGCCCCAACACCAAATACTGCAGGCACATTAAGAACAAATCTTTAAAGACTTCCTGACATAACTGCTTTGCATCATCACCTCTCCAAAACCCATCCTTACTGCAAACTGATGTTTTACAGTCCTTCTGTATTCAAAATCCCCTTTGTAAACAAAGACCATCTTCAGAAACTTTCCTTTAGAGCAGGTCACATTTGCAGTAAAAATATTGGAAAAGCAAAGTGATTGCTACCCCTGCAGCCTGTTGCTGACCTCCAGCTGAGCCCTTGTGTTCAATAATGTGCTACTGAGAAATCCAGTTACATTTTGGGAACCAGTTCCACTGCCTGTGCTCTAATGCAGAGTGTTACTGAAAAATGCAGGGTTGTCATAGCTCTGTGGCAGAAGCTTTCATTTTAATTAATAAAGACATGTGGCCCTGGTAGTAGTTTTCCTCCGTGGTTCCCATTCCTTCACTTTTTCACTTCCTAGTATCATGTGAGGACAGACCTGGTTCCAGCAGGACTTTCCATGGGCTTAAAGCTTCAGGGCTGTGCTCAGCGAGGGCTTTAGGAAAACACATACCAGCCCATGTGGGACCAGGGCTGCTCCGGGGCTGCACTAGCAGCAAATGTCAGAGCCAGCAGCAAGGATTTGCAGAACAGAGCCAGAAGCTCTGGGGGAGCTGCCAGGCAAGAAGAGTTCCTGTGGCTCCTGCACAGACTCCTGCTTGCTGCCCTCTCTTCCTTCATGTTCACTGCCAGTAAAAGGGGCTCCAAGCACCGTGACCAGGATTTGCCTTGGAAATCAATTTGCCTTGGAAATCAGTTTGCCTGCAGAGCTTCCTCAGTGGGTGACCTGTGGTGGTTGGTTTGAGCGTGGCTGTTTCTTCTCAGAGGTGAAGCAGCAGATGCCAGTTCTGCGTTTGGCACGAAGGTGCAGCTTTCATGATTGTTCCCCACACGTTATCTCCCTTTATGGTTTTCATGTTGTTTGATCAGTAAGAAATAAAAATAAAAAGTGACAGATTCTAAGCAAACTATTGAGAGGGATTTCTCTGAAAATTGCAGTCGTGGTGTGACCGTTTTTCCCAAAATGCAATTTTTAACTATGTACTACATCATCTTTTCTACATGTTAAAAAAAGGACATAAAATTAAAGACAACTGATGGGACATAAATAGGCTGGATTATTGCAATTAACTGTACAAAAGAAGTACTAGAGAAATCAGTAATTTCGTCTAAATGAGAACTTAAATCTACTGATCTGCATTGGGAGAATAAATGCACTCTATGCTAAGTTTGGTTTGGTTTTTTACTTCTTGTAGACATATTACACCAGACTTCCAGATGAGAGGACAAAGACTATGAGTGAAGAGTGCCCTGGAGATCACATGCGGTTCTTTTCCTGGGCCAGAACTGGATTGATCTGAGAACAGTAATTATGAGGCTGACATGTATGTTCTCCTTCATCTTGCTGTTTGGAGCAGTTGGGCTCGTGGTCTTCATTCACCTGCAGGATCCAGAAGAAATAGTTCATCAGCAGACACCAGGTTAGCATTCCTGTTTCTATTTGAATCACCTGCCCTTTCATGCTCAATATTTTGTATTTATATTCTCAATGTATTTTACATATTTCACAGAGGATACCTCAAAAAAGGTGTGTCATTCTTAATGAAGGCTACCTTGAAAGTAATTATCAATTTTTTTTTTTAAATAATTTGCTGAAAAAAAAAACAGTTTCAAGGACCAATTAATTGATTATACAGGAACCTTTGCCAACATGCATAGGGTCCAGCTGGGTGGAGTTAAATTTTTGCTAAAGAAAACTTTTACTACCAACTATATCGCTGTAAATGTGAAAATGAGAGATTTCATCAAAAGTTCTGTTCCTGGAAATGAAGACCTCTGGATTTACCTTTCACTTGCATATGGTATTTAGTGTGTCATGAGATGCAAAATAAGAGATGTATGAATGAGTCATATCAGAAACTTTAAATACTTTAGGATGCATTCACTAAATTTGCTTCATTTCAATTAAACCTTTCATAACTGTTATTCATATGCATGTCATCTTCCTGCACTACTAACTTGAAATTGTGGAGAGCCAAAAAAGCCACCGAGATGGGACAACTAGAAAATTGTGGGCTGAAATAGTAGTTTCCTTTAAAAGGGAGACACAAAAGTATTAAAGGATCCAAGATCTCTTGATTTACTTGCAGTCCTTTTCTCTTTGACTGTGGCTGTAATGAAGGCTGCTTTAGAGCCTAGACAAATGCCAGTGCAGTTGCTCTCATCCAGGATAATGCCACTGTGTTCTGGGGTTTGGCCCCTGTGTTTGCTCTTATATGCACTGAAATTGTCCCTTGACTAAACAAATGCTTCATAAAACCTTTATTCATTTGACATCTTCATTGTACAGTGAACACAACTGTGTCTATTTAAAATCATTGCTAACATTTTTAAATAAGCTGAACTGTAACACAGGGAACTCTTAAATAATTACATTAATTGCTAATTTCTGTGTCTAGGTTTGTTAAGTGCTTGTTTCCATGTCACTAAACAATTTGTACTTTAATATGTTGTTTATTTAGTCCAACTGCACACACACCAATTTTGAAAGCAGCCACTCAGCTGAAACTACAGAAGTAATGAATCTTCAGTGTAGTGCAAAGCAGGGAATTAACTAGTTCCTTCAGTGCTTTTGCGATTTATTTTTTTATGATTAGATGCAAAAGAGTTTATATATTAAAAACAGAGGTGCTGGCCATATTTGACTGAAACTGGCCACTAGTTTAGGCAAGGGGGAAAGATGTATGGACAGCAAATGCAGGCAGTACTCTCGTGCATCTAAGAACGTGTAACTTTACATTGAAAAGTTAATTCTTTGCTCCTGAAAACAAGATTTCCTAGTGTGATCTCAAAACCAGTGCAATTTCTTTTCTATTTTTTTCGCTGTGGGTCCCTCATCTTGACCTCTTCTCTGCCATAAACCTCTTGAATGCTGACTGCTGATTGTGGTACGCTGGGAAGTGATTTTTGAGAGCAGTGTAACTGGAGAAGGGGACACCTAAGTATATTTAAATAACAGCAAGTTTGAACAGAGCTCTCCTACCCCTGGCAGGGAAACTCACTGTGTGATGTGCTCGATTGCTGTGGATACCTAAAACACAAACATGCCAACAATGCTGTTACTGCCAAAGGTGTGTAATCAATTCCTCAATTCTCACATTCAATTACTATTTATGTTAATAGGAACCAGACTGTACCCTTGAGTAAATGGTGCTCAATACAATTACTTTTATTTCTGTTTGGCTGACTTTCATGTGTGTTAAGTACTTTCAACTCCCAGTGGACTGAGATACTCCTCATATCCACTGCTTTTGAAAATTATACCAGTTATCACTAAAGCATATTAGGTGACTTAAAGAACACAGGTAAAAATATCCATTAATTTCATTTAAAAATACAGGTTGGCATATTTCCTTCCTAGACAGTCTCCTGTGAAAATCTGTCAATCACAGGCAACGTTTTTGGTGTGCTGAGAAGGATCCTTCCCTGGCTGTGCTCAGAGTGTTTCTCCATAAAGGGGCCTGGCTCTAATGGAGATGGGATATTGCTATAATTTGCTTGCCTGATTGCTCTCTCGAGAGAACTGAACAAATGCACGTATCATTAAGCTACTTAGGACAACAGATTCTGCATGGAAAAGCTTTACTGGATTAGCCTTTGCTTTTGTATTTCCTGTGTAGTAAAACACATTTGCCAGATGCTGGAATCAGCAGGGCTGGAGAGAAGTTGGTAACACTCATTTTCCACCAAAAAGAAGCACAGGAACCTTTGCATTGTCCAAAAGGACATTTTTCATTGTTAGCATGTTCAGTCATCTTTAATTTGGAATAGAACAACTTATGAAACAAGATTAATAAAAATACTTTGGTACTTCAGTTTTATCTGTCTGTTTCAGAAATTGTTCTTGATTGTTTAAGTCCTAGCAAGCATGACAGTGAGACCTTGATGTACTACTTAAACCAGTATAAAATCCACAGTCATAAAACTTTAAGTAATGCTTACATTACTTTCACAGAGCAAAGTACTCCTGACAGTAGCTGTTTGTGTTGATTTGTTACTATTCATTTATTCTTTCCCTGTGCTTCACATTGCTACCTAATTGTGATGCTGTACTGAGAAAGCAATATCAAAGTAATTTTCCACAACATTAGTTACAATTTTCTTCTGATCTTCCAAGTGAAAAAATCCCATCCTGTTGGCTTCTGTGAGCATATAAACCTTGATTACATTTATCTGTTGGAAACCAATGCTTATGAAGTACATGTGCCCGGGATAGTGGGTGTAGGGCCTTTTCTGCTGATTGACAAACATGCTTCCTGTGTAGTTTATTTTTATAACACACATCACTCTGAGCAGATATATTTAAGACAGACAGCCATTTGGGGTGGGCAGAACAAATTTCCCAAAGCAATATATTAAATACAGTAGATATTCCTGTGGTCATTAAAGAGACAATAACTTCATTTAGTTCTTTTCTTAGTGTGTATGAAGAGTGCTTTTAGTGGGGGAACTCAGGATAAAAACTGGGAAGTGATGGTCAGTGAGTGTTGGTCAGTGAGTGATGGTCATGCCTCATAGAGGAACACAATAGTACTGTAATAATTCTCCCTGTATAATTGTATATGCCCCCTGCACATGCATTGGTGCACAAATACAGGCTGGGCAGAGAGTGGGTTGAGAGCAGGAGAAGGATTTGGGGGTCTTGGTGGCTGAGAAGCTGAACATGGCCTGCACTGGCAACCCAGAAAGCCAACCCTGTCCAGGGCTGGGCATCAGTGTTGGCAGCATGCCAAGGAAGGTGATTCTGCCCTCTGCCCTGCTCAGGTGAGACCCCACCTCAGAGCTCTGGGGTCCCCAGCACAGGAAGGACATGGAGCTGCTGGAGAGACTCCAGAGGAGGCCACAGAGGTGCTCCAAGGGCTAAAGCCCCTCTGTAGCCAGGATGGGAGAGGTGGCGGTGCTCACCTGGAGAAGAGAAGACTCCAGGGAGACCTTAGAGCCCCTTCCAGTGCCTAAAACAGCTCCAAGAAGAGGGACTTGGGACAAGGGCCTGGGACAAAAAGACAAGGAGGAATGGCTTCAAACCGAAAGAGGATGGACTTGGATCAGATGCAAGGAGGAAATTATTCCCTGTGAGGCACTGGCACAGGTTGCTCAGAGAATCTGTGGATGCTTCATCCCTGGAAGTATTTGAGGCTAGAATGGCTTTAAACAGCCTGAACTAGTGAAAGGTGTCCCCAGCCCAGGGCAGTGGAGCTGGAACTGGAAGATCTTCAAGGTTCCCTTCCACCCCAAACCATTTTACAACTCTATGATTTCATGATATAAAACTTGCCTTCTGCAATAATCACACTGTTATTCTTAAACAGACATACTAAAGGACTTGTTCTAAGTCAAGCACATTTGCACATGGTGCACAAGAAAAATTTAATACATATATCCCCATCCTAATGCTAATGCATAAATCTCCTGTCTGTGACAAGATATTAAACATGAAAAAAAACTTTACACTAACAATATTTAGCCTCTCCACCACTGTGTTGGTCCTGGAACTGATGCCAGTTTGGGTTTTGCCTTTTGTTCCTTTTATATGTTCTCTGTATTTTTGCAAGTATATTTGTAGCTCTGTAACCTATTGTACTAGTAGCTAGTTTTCCCAGTAATTTTCCATGGCCTTTCCCTAGGCAGAAAGACAAAACAAATTTCAGAGCTTCAAGCCCTGGGGGTACAAGGCCCTCTCCTGTTTTTGTCCTTCCTGGGAACCAAGGCCAGAACAACTCTTCCAGATCCATCTTATGGACCAAGCTCAACCAGTGCTGTGGGGGGACTACAGAGAAGGGGCTTGACTTGGGGGGAAATTGAATGACCACTTGTCCTTCTCATTGGTGCTTTTTGTCAATTCTGCAAATTTCCTAAAACCTCTAAATATGTACTCATCCCTGTGGGGTAGGCTTTTGTGAACATCTTTCCAAAACTGCTCCTGAAGGCCTTCAAATAAGGATCCTCTTTTACAATAAATTATCTCGAGTTTCATTTCAGGTTGGGAAAAAGGCAACAGAACCTTAAAAGAGAAGGGTCCTGTCCAGCCTGTGCTGGCAGAAGGCTTCTTCAGCATAGAGTGTGCTTCCTCTGAGTCAGGGTCTGCAGTGAGAGTCAGCAGAGCCCTTCCAGCCTTGGCCACAGCCACAGCAGTTTGTGAGATGCCTGAGATCATGGGCGGTGAGAGCTGCACTTGGGCAGGACAAGAGAGAGCAACTTGATCCAACAACAACACTGAGAGGAGAGTCGAAGGGCACGGCATATCCTGAGAGATCTCAGGTGGATTTCAAACACAGAGCCACAGAGCAGCAGTCCATGGGCTGGAGACAGGACTGTGGTAATGAGCAGCAGGTGGTGGGTGAGGTCCTGAGCACCCAGAAGGATCACTGGATCACTGCTTCCACGAGGGACACAGGAAATAGCTGTACTGCACTGCCATAGC